TATTTATGAGACTTATATACCGCTTTAAGTGCAAATAAATAAAGTAAGAATGTATTTAATCAAACAATATGTGTGTTTTAGATATGATAGCTCTTTTGTAATGAAATAAGGGAAATTCGGGTTACCCGAAATCTAAATATTATGGAGATTAAAGGCTAAATTGGAACACTGTCATTGAAATTAGGTAAACTTTAAAAACAGGACACGGATATGTATAAGTTAAAATATATTGATAAATGCCCTAATTGATTGAGTTATAATCAGAAATGTATTAATTTGAATGTGATATAATAATCAAGGGAAATAGAGAGGGAATTTTTGATGATGTAACCTGAGACATGTACGAAAGATCTTGTTACTGGACTATTGACTACCCAATCACCACACTCCCTGTTTCTTAAATACTTGGATGTAAAACTGGAAAATTAATAAAACTTGTTTTTTAAATAATTTAAAAAAAATTAATTTTTAAATAATTTAAAAAAAACCACACACCCTCTGGGCCACCGAACAACTTCTCTCCACGGAACTGGTCCCTGGTGCCCCCAAAATTGGGGACCTCTGATCTATTGTGTCTTAACCTCGCTTGTAATGTTGGCCAATACTGAAATATGATTACAGGTAGTCCTTGACTTACAACCTTTCCTTTAGTGACTGTTCAAAGTTCAAAGGCCCTGAAAAAAGTGACTTGTGACCATTTTTCATGCTTAACAACCGTTGCAGCATCAAAATCAGCATCCAAATTCAGACGCTCAGCCACCGACTCCTATTTATGACGGTTGCAATGTCCCAAGATGATGGGATTCTCCTTTGCTGACTTTCTGAACCAGCAAAGTCAACTGGAGCGAATCACTCCGGTTGTTAAGTGAAACATCCGGTCGTTAAACCAATCCAGCTTCTCCCTATGGATTTTGCTTGTTTGGAAGCAAACAGCACGCTGCAACCATCATAAATACATGCCAGTTGCCAGGCATCCCGGTTTCAATCACACGACCATGGGGATGCTGTGTCGGTCATAAGTTTGAGGTCCTGTGCTAACTCTTTTTCTTTCTTTTTTTTTTGTAAGTTTGAATGGTGACTAAGCGAATGGTTGTTAAGTTGAGGGGTACCTGTATTGTTAATAATAATAAAAAAATTTGGAAGGGACCTTGGAGATCATCCAGTCCAACCCCCTGCTCAGGCAGGAAACCCTGTACCATTTCAGACAAATGGCTGTCAGGTCTCTTCTTAAAAACTTCCAGTGTTGGAGCATTCACCGCTTGTTATCTAACCAAGGACTAAGACTGAAAGACAGTTCTGAGAAACAGACTGGATTAAGCAAATCCTCAATTCCCTTCTTATAGATCAGCGGTTCTCAACCTTTGGGTCGCGACCATTTTACGGGGGTTGCCAAACAACGCGATCCGCCATTTTTTCCCTCGGGGCGCCGCCGCGCATGGGGGCAGCGCTGTGCATGTGCGGCACGTCCTTATGACCAGGGTCGCCGTATAAAAAGGTTGAGAACCACTGTTATAGATCTTGTGCCCAAGGAATATGTTGGGAAGGCTCGGGAAAAAAAATTGGAAAAATTGAAAAAAAAAAAAAGGTTTTTTTTCATTTTCGTTTTTCTTTTTTTCCAAAACTGTTTGGGAAAACAGAACCCCCCCCTTTTTTTTTCAATTTTTCCAGGGTTTTTTTTTTCAGGCCTTCCCATCTCTATTCATGCCGCAAACAAGTCTCAGATCATTGAACGTGGGGCATTGCCATGTTAATTGTTCTCACTGTTAGGAAATTTCTCCTTAGTTCTAGGTTACTGATCCAGGAGAGAAGCAACTTAGAAGTAAGGAGAACTAAGGAGAAATTACCTGACAGTGAGGACAATTAATCAGCAGAATGACCTGCCTCCAGAAGTTGTGAATGCTCCAACACTGGCTGTTATTAAGAAGAGATTAGACTAACCATTTGTCTGAAATAGTATAGGGCAGTGGTGGCGAACCTATGGCACGCGTGCCAGAAGTGGCACTCGGAGCCCTCTCTGTGGACACATGCACTGTTCCCCCAGCCGTGCCTTCTCCCATGGCCCCCTCCTCACCAGCAGCCCCCCCCCGGAGGAGAGTCGCCCCTGCACAGCCCACGCGAAGCAGCGCAACCAAGGACATGGTAGCTGGACAGCGGGGACAAGACTCCGCCCTTACACCTCGTTTCGCGCAGATGATGCTGCGGAGGATGGGCGGAAGGCATGGCCGCCATGGCGCTGCTGGGCTTCCTGGGTGATCTGTGGTGGGCTGTGGACGTGGTAGGTGGCCCAGCGAGCTGGGTGGAGCGGGGACGGGGATGTTGGGGCTGTTTTGGGGCACTCGGTCTCTAAAAGGTTCGCCATCACTGGTATAGGGCTTCCTGCCTGAGCAGGAGGTTGGACTAGATGACCTCTAAGGTCCATTCCAATTCTGTTAATCTGTTAATTAATTAGTGGAACTGCTTGCCTTTGGAAATTGTAGGCGCTGTATCATTGGAGATTTTTAAGAAGAAATTGGACATATGTCATATGTCCGAAATGGAATAGAGTTTCCTGTCTGAGCAAGGGGTTGGACTAGAAGACCTCCGAGGTCCCTTAAAACTTCTGTTATTTTGTATTCTGTATGTTCCTGGTCACAGGTTCCTTCAGAAAGAGCTGAGAAAGTTTGGTTGATCAATGCAACTTTAGGTGTATTTCAAACTTTGGAATTTTTATCAACTAACTGAAAAAAAAAAACCCCAGAAACCAAACCTCTTTAACAGTGAAATTTTAATGTGTTTTGTAGTTGAATGACAGCTTTTGATTCAGAGCTGTGTTTTATGCGGAGAGCAGCCTCGTTCGTTATCGATGTTTTGTAAAGAAATTTTTTTTTTTTAAAAAAAAGAAAGCTCATCAAATTTCCAACAGTTCAGTCATATCCCATTCAGTACAAGGTGAAACCTTTTTATATCAAATTCCCCGCTGTGTAATGGCCAATCAGACCCTATTTATAGGGGCTGAATGGATTTCCTGGCTTCGTATTTCAAAATTAAAACATTTTCAGACATTAACATTTAATGCTGTTCTTTTCTTTCTTTTTTGCCACACTTCAAGTTGATTTTATGTAACCCTAGATACTCGCAATTCCTGGATAGGATGAAGTGCCTTGTTTATGCCCCAGATCCTGCAGGAAATGCTTTTACGTTTATCGTACCTGTGTAGATGAAATTAAATTGCAGATTTTGATAGCGTGTTCCTCTCTTCTGCTTGAAAACGAAGTGCTGTTGATAATCAAACCATTTCATTTCTGTATTGTTTTTTCTTTTCTTTTTACTAATTTTGCTCTATAAACTACAGGCAAGAACTAGCCAAGGAACCATAGACAAGGTTTTAACAGAATAACAGAGTTGGAAGGGACCTTGGAGGTCTTCTAGTCCAACCCCCTGCTCAAGCAGAAAACCCTCTATAGGTAATCCTTGACTTAACGACCACAATTAGGAGCCCAAAGTTTCTGTTGCTAAGTGAGGCATTTGTTGTGGGAGTTTTGCCCCATTTGATGACTTCTCTTGACACTGTTGTTAAATGAATCATGGCAGTTGATCTCTGTAGTAATCCGGTTGTTAAGTGAATCTGGCTTCCCCCATTGACTTTGCTTGTCAGAAGGTTGCAAAAGGGGATCGCGTGACCTTGGGGCACGGCAAGGGGCATAAATATGAATGGGCCGTTGATCTGATCTCCGAGCTTGGCGATTTGACCGCAAACATTTCGTTTCCATTTGGGGTGACATCTTCAGTGCGCTTTGAATTGTGCTCGCCTGTCAGAGCACTGGCCTTTAAATACCTTTTTTTGTGTGAGGTAAACTGGTGTGGGTGTTATTCGTCCAGATCAGGGGTCTTCAAACCTGGCCCTTTTATGACTTGTGGACTTCAATTCCCAGAATTCCTGAGCCAGCCATGCTGAGGGGAAAGGGAAAGGTTTCCAAGCTGAGCCATGCTGGCTGAGGAATTCTGGGAGTTGAAGTCCACAAGTCATAAAAGGGCCAAGTTTGAAGACCCCCTGGTCCAGATGTTTCTGAGGTTTTGGGCCATTTGATTGTTGTTGCTGGGCCATAGTCTTGGTGTTTTAAGTCTTTGGTGTTTAAGATTCATAAATAGGAATCAGTTGCCAAACATCTGAATTTTGATCACACAATCCTGGGGGTGCTGCAAAGGTCGTAACTGTGAAAACTGGGTCATTTTTCAATGCCACTGTAACGTTGCATGGTCACTAAATGAACTTTTGTAAGCCAAGGACTCCCTGTACCATTTCAGACCAATAGCTGTCCAGTCTCTTCTTAAAAACCTCCGGTGATGGAGCACCTACAACTTCTAAAGGCAACTTCCGATCCATTGATTAAATGTTCTAACTGTCAGGAAATTTCTCCTTAGTTCCATGTTGGTTCTCTCCTTGATCGGTTTCCATCCATTGTTTCTTGTCCTACCTTCAGGTGCTTTGGAAAATAGTTTGACCCCCACTCATCTTTGTAGGAGCCCCTCAAATACTGGAACGCTGATATCATGTCCTCCCTAGTCCTTCTCTTCACTAGAGTAGACATACCCAAATCCTGCAACCGATCTTCATATGTTTTAATCTCCAGGCCCTTAATCATCTTCGTTGCTCTTCTCTCCACTCTTTCCAGAATATCAGCATATTTTTATATCGTGGCAATCAAAAATGAATGCAATATTTTTACATTGTGGTGACCAAACCTGGATGCAGTATTCCAGGTGTGGCCTTACCAAGTGGCATTAACACTTCACGTGATCTTGATCCTGTCCCTCTGTTAATGCAGCCTAACAGCAGTGGCTGGATCTCTCCTCGTTTAGTTGCCAAGCATCATTTCTTGTCTTGCCTTCTGGTGCTTTGGAAAATAGGTTGACCCCTTCTTCTTTGGGGCAGCCCCTCAAATATTGGAAGACTGCTATTTTGAATTGTAGAAGCTGAACGTGTGTTTTTTTCTTTCCCCCTCTCCCCTGTCTATTTACAGATGTCTAACCAGAGACGCAACTGTCCCTTGGTGCCACCTTCAGACCTGGATGGATCCTACCTTGGTGTAGCTAGACTACAAACTATGTATAAGAGCCACAACGTGACTCGTAGAAGCCCTAGTCTTCAACCTTCAACTCGACTTAGTAGGAATAGAGGCGTCCTTGGGGCTGGCATCCATGGATGTCAGACAGAGGCTAGCAATGGGGGTCTGTTGGAAAACGGATTGCACCATCAATGCGACAACATGACATCTCCATCCGAGCAGCATCCGAGTCCCCAGTTTAGAAGAACTCCTAATGGGGACAAGAGGAAGAGCGGCTGTCCCATTCGGGGGTGTCCTCTCCATCAAAAATCAGCAAACCCGGCTCACAAGTCTTTCCAGGATGGTTGCCACGTGCAGGACCGATATGCGCGACCCCCGTGCGAATCTTCCTCGGAGTATTTTGGCTCGCCGCACCCTCCGAGGCAGAAGGTCGGCGAAGTCCCGAGATCGAAAGAAGGCGACCGCGATCAAAACGTTTCCGAAGAGAAAAGGAAGCAGCTCCTGCTACAGAAAATTGAGCTGGAGATGGAGAAGGAACGTCTCCAGAATTTGTTAGCAGAGCAAGAGGCGAAACTTCTCCATCAACAAGAGCAGTTACAGAAGTCCAGGCGGGACTATCACCGGTAAGCTTGAGAAGGTGAAAGGGAAGCTTGGCTTTTTACTAGAATAGGAGACTTGGTCACTTTAAGTCTCATGGACTTCAACTCCCAGAATTCCCCAGCCAGCCATGTCAATCCCACTCTCTTCTTTTACATATATATATGTATGTATGTATGTACGTACGTATGTATGTGTGTGTATGTATGTATGCATGTATGTATGTATATATGTATGTAGGTCTTTGGTTGTTCGGGTTTTCTCCCACGTAAAATTGGAAGTGTCTTGGCGACGTTTCGACGAAGTCCCATTCGTCATCTTCAGGCTGGTGCTTTCCGTTTATATATATGTATATATATATAATAGAAATAAAATAGTCCGAGCACCAGGATAATATTAAAACAAAAACTGTTTAATACAAAAGCTTTTTACTAGAATAGTAGACTTGGTCACTTTAAGTCGCATGGACTTCAACTCCCAGAATTCCCCAGCCAGCCATGTCAATCCCACTCGCTTCTTTTATATATATATATGTAGGTCTTTGGTTATTCGGGTTTTCTCCCACGTAAAATTGGAAGTGTCTTGGCGACGTTTCGATGAAGTCTCATTCGTCATTTTCAGGCTGGTGTTTTCGGCTTCGTGCTTCTAAGACATACATACAAACACCCGCGAAAACCTCAGAAAACATATATATATATATATATATATATATATATATATATATATATATATATAAGTATGTATGTATGTATGTATGTACATATGTACGTACATATGTGTGTGTGTGTATGCATGTATGTATGTATATATGTATATATATAATAGAAATAAAATAGTCCGAGCACCAGGATAATATTAAAACAAAAACTGTTTAATACAAAAGCTTTTGTATTAAACAGTTTTTGTTTTAATACTATCTTATATGATTTCTATTATATGGATTTACCCAGGATTCGCATTTTTAGTATAATTAGGGGAGATAGATAGATAGATAGATAGATAGATAGATAGATAGATAGATAGATAGATAGATAGATTTTATTAGTTTTTATAGGGTTAGGAATAAGGTGGGGTCGGGGTTAGGGTTGGGATTTGGGTTAGGGCAGGGGTAGGCAACCTTGGCTCTTTTATGACTGGTGGACTTCAACTCCCAGAATTCCTGAGCCAGCATGGCTTAGCTTGGAAACCTCTCCCTTTCCCCTCAGCATGGCTGGCTCAGGAATTCTGGGAGTTGAAGTCCATGAGTCATAAAAGAGCCCAAGCTGCCTACTCCTGGTTTAGGGTCTTCTGCTTGAGCAGGTGGCTGGACTAGAAGACTTCCAAAATGCAGGCAGCTGGCAGTCAGCAGAAGTAGCCTGCAGTACTGCATTCTAACCACAACACCACCATGGCTCCTTCCTTCCTTCCTTCCTTCCTTCCTTCCTTCCTTCCTTCCTTCCTTCCTTCCTTCCTTCCTTCCTTCCTTCCTTCCTTCCTTCCTTCCCTCTTGCCATACTGAGCTCTGAATCCGAACCCTTGCAGTGGGGGACACTTTCTGAGGACCTGATTCAAGGGTTTGAATAAACACCTGCAGAACTCTTGCTGGGCGCACGGGCGTGTTCCCCTCAATCATTCATCTTGCTGAACAGTCTCATTGGCTTTAAGCCACAATCTGCCACCTTGTAGCCACCCAGAGCAGAAAGTTCCCCTTCCCAACGCCCTGCAGCCCTGATCTATATAACTATGGTTTTTCCAATGTTTGATTAGAGACTATCAGAGCTATGTGCTTTAGAAGCTGGCTGGGATCACCAGCCAAGGTCAGGAGCTAAACAGGAGCAGATGGATTTTTTAACGATCAAAGAATCTTTAATCCATACATGAGTTTCAGTGAAATGAGAAACGAAAGGAAAGGGAGGCCAAAATGCCGGGGGGGGGGGTTTTTTTGCAAATGGGCTCAGAGCACTCAGGGGGGGCCCTGCTGCCCAGCCACAGAACTCTCTGCCACGTGTCTGCAATTTTGTTTTCCTTCTTCTCCTCCCCTCCCGTCTGCTCCATCCCATGAGATAGATAAATAGATAGATAACCTTTATTGTTATTTTTTTTTACTGTAGGCACATTGGCAAACGTTAAAAATAAAATTCTGTTGCCTGCTCTCAAAAGTGTACACATCCATAACACATATTTAAACATGCTACATGCAGCCTATGTATAAACCTACACCCTTACATATAAATAACATATAAATATCACGTGAAGTATTAATACCATTTTACAAGGCCTTGGTAAGGCCACACTTGGAATATTGCATCCAGTTTTGGTCACCACGATGTAAAAAAGATGTTGAGACTCTAGAAAGAGTACATGGAAAAGCAACAAAGATGATTAGGGGACTGGAGGCTAAAACATACAAGGAACGGTTGCTGGAATTGGGTATGTCTGGTTTAAGGAAGAGAAGGACGAGGGGGGGCATGATAGTAGTCTTCCAATATCTCAGGGGCTGCCCCAAAGAAGAGGGAGTTAAGCTATTTTCCAAGGTGCCTGAAGGCAGGACAAGAAGCAACAGATGGAAACTAATCAAGGAGAGAAGCAACCTAGAACTAAGGAGAAACTTCCTGATAGTTAGAACAATTAACCAGTGGAACAACCTGCCTCCAGAAATGGTGAATGCTCCAACACTGAAAGTTTTTAAGAAGAGATTGGACAGCCATTTGTCTGAAATGGTATAGGGTTTCCTGCCTGAGCAGCGGGTTGGACTAGATGACCTCCAAGGTCCCTTCCAACTTTATCATCATCATCATCATCATCATTATTATTATTATTATTATTAATCACTGTCCATCTTGAGCACATACATAGTGGAAAGAAGAAGCTTTGGATCTCACAAGGTTGATACTGTATGGAACAAATCTGACTGAATCTGGATGTTCGGCTTCGGATACCACGAAGCCCCCCCCTCCCCCCCCAGAAGGTAACAAGGAAAACAGGTTGTGAAGAAGATGTGTAGCGTCCCAGACAATCCCGCGGACCCTGCTCAAACATCGCTTATATGCCATGTCCTGGATGGGAGGGAGTGAACAGCCAATGATCTTTTCTGCCGTCCTCACCACTCTCTGCACCACCTTCCTGTCCGAAGCAGGGATGCTTCCAAACCAGACTGTGATGCCGTATGACAGGATGCTCTCGATCGTCCCCCTATAGAAAGTGATAAGGACAGGATAAGGAAGATGTGCTCTTCTCACACATTTCTTATACTAGTTCACCAAACCCTCAACCTCCTTGCGGTAAGCACCCTCATTGTCATCTTGAATAAGGCCCACTACTCTTTCTCTTTTCTTCTCCCTCTGCCTTTTCCTCTTCCCCCTCTCTTTCTCCCTCTCCCCTTCCCTCCCTCTCTCCCTCCTTCCCTCTCTCCCTTTCCCTCCCTCCCCCTCTCTCCCTCCTTCCCTTTCTCTCTCTCTCCTTTTCCCTCCCTCCCTTTCTCTCCCTTTCCCTCTTTCTCTCTCCTTCTCCCTCTGCCTTTTCCTCTCTCCCCTTTCCCCCTCTACCCCTCTCTCTCCCTTTCCCTCCCTTCCCTCTCTCTTTCCTTCCCCCTCCCCCCTCTCTCCCTTTCCCTCTTTCTCTCTCCTCCCTCTGCCTTTTCCTCTCTCCCCTTTCCCCCTCTACCCCTCTCTCTCCCTTTCCCTCCCTTCCCTCTCTCCCTTTCCTTCCCCCTCCCCCTCTCTCCCTTTCCCTCTTTCTCTCTCCTCCCTCTGCCTTTTCCTCTCTCCCCTTTCCCCCTCTACCCCTCTCTCTCCCTTTCCCTCCCTTCCCTCTCTCTTTCCTTCCCCCTCCCCCCTCTCTCCCTTTCCCTCTTTCTCTCTCCTCCCTCTGCCTTTTCCTCTCTCCCCTTTCCCCCTCTACCCCTCTCTCTCCCTTTCCCTCCCTTCCCTCTCTCCCTTTCCTTCCCCCTCCCCCCTCTCTCCCTTTCCCTCTTTCTCTCTCTCCCTCTTTCCCTCCCTCTCCCCTGTTGGTCCCTCTCAGAGAGGCCCCACAGTGCTGGGAGATAGCTAGGTAAGTTAGATGTAGAAAATCAAACCACACCGTGCCCTCTATTGTGTTTGTTTTACACCACTCCCTCCACCAGTTTGAAGTTTGGATCCACATTCTGCATGGTGTGTGTGCGTGCCTGTGTGCAAGGACACTTAAATGTAGAGGCAGTACTTATGTGTTGGCATCTAATTAGAATACTGATATTCTTGGATTCAGGCATACCTTCTCCTTCCAACCTGTTAGAAAAAAGAGGGAAAGAGTCACGGAGGAGGGCTGGATAGACTCCGAACGGAGAGTTAGGACTGCAGGAAAAAACAATCCCAGCCAGCCTGTCTTCCGTGGAGGGTCCTCTACACTGCACGAACCACAAAGAGGGCTGTGACAATGTCTACGGACCTCCCCCCCCCACATCCTGAACATAAACTTTTTCAACTTTTCCCCTTAGGATACCAATGTAGGGCACAGCATGCCAAAACAAAGATAGTTTTACACACACACACACACACACACACACACACAGAGTGCCATCACCTAATTCGTGCAGTGCTGTCTAATGTCTAAGTGTATTTTTATCCACGTCGTGTGGCTGTATTCGTTTTAGCCTTCTCATCTATTCCACGGCCTTCTCTTATTAGCATCATTAATAATGATTATTATTATTACTTGGATATTCTGATTATTGTTATTACTGGGTTGCTTTGCCTGTACACAGAGAGCTTCTGCCCCAGAGACAAATTCCTTGTTAACTGATCACACTTGGCCAAATAAAAGCGGTCCCTTCTGTTCTGTGATGGTGACGGGTGGCTCTTATTTTTTTTTTCCTCGCAGGTTTAAAGCCCACGCCGCCAATTCAGACGAGGTGCTCCTGGGCGAAACCCAGAGGGGGCCGGGCTCCTTAGCGCCAGCCATGAACGGAATTTGTGATGGCGTCAGGTAAGGGCTTGGCTTTACTCAATCGGTTACCTGACTTTTGTGCGCTAGAACATTTTATGTTTTGTGCAAGGAGCGCTACACTTTTGTTCATACCTCTCCTCTCCTTGCCTCGCCTCGCCACTCCTGGCCTTGGCCCTCCCCTTCCTTTATTTATCCTACCTTCTTCTCCTCCCCTCCTATCTCATCTCCCCTCTCCCCTTCCTTCTCCTATCCTCTCCTCTCCTTTCCCCTCTCCTCTCCCCCTTCCCCTTCCTTCTACGTTCCTTTCCTCTCCCCTTCCCCTCTCTCCTCTCCCCCTTCCCCTCTCCTCCCCTTCCGTTTCTCCTCCCCTCGCTTCTCCCCTTACCTTTACCCTCCCCTCTTTCCCCTTCTATCTTCTCCCCTCTCCCCTTCCTCTCCTCTCCTCTTCCTTCTACATTCTTCTCCCTCTCTCTCCCTCGTCTCTCTCCTCCCCTTTTGTTCTGTCTCCTACATTCTTCTCCTCCCTCTCCCCTTCCCCTCTCCTCTCCCCTTCTCTTCCTTCTTCATTCTTCTTCTCCCCTCCCTCTCCTCTCCCCTCCTTTTCCTTCTCCTACATTCTTCTCTCCTCCCTCTCTCCCCCTCCCCTTGTCTCCTCCCCTTTTGTTCTTTCTCTTACATTCTTCTCCCTCTCCCCCTCTCCTCTTCTCTTCCTTCTACATTCTTCTTCTCCCCTCCCTCTCCTCTCCCCTCCCTCTCCTCTCCCCCTCCCCTTGTCTCTCTCCTCCCCTTTTGTTCTTTCTCCTACATTCTTCTCCTCCCTCTTCCCCTCTCCTCTCCCCCTCCCTCTCCCCCTCTCTTCTCCCCCTCCCTCTTCCCTCCCTCTCCCCTCCCTTTCTCTTCCTTCTCCTACATTGTTCTCCCCTCTCCCACTTCCACTCCCTTCCTCTCCCATCGATGGAACAATAGATCACTTTATCAGAAATCCATGTTTCTAGCCTTCAGTACAGTCACAAAGGGAAGGAAATTTCATTCCTTCTTTCGGATTTCAAACAGGTGTCGTGCAAGCAGGAGGCAAAAATGAACATCTCCGTTCTTCGTGTTGGAGAAGGCTGGTGGGTGTCCAGCACAGATTGAGTCAGGGCTAAGGACCAGATTAGTGAAGTCATTTTGGACTGTTTGTATAAAATACTCCTCGGATGCTTCTCAGCCCACTTGGTGCTCATGCAATTAACATGCAGCGAGTGCGTTGCCTCTCTTAAGCTTCATCAAAAGCATCCAGTCACGGTGCCAGATCTGTAGTGGCAGGTGTGGGAAACGCTGGATTTCAGCCAGCCCAATAAAAGGAGCGTAGTCAGTGGCCTTTAAAAAAATGAGAACTTTCCAGCCTTTCCTTTGAGGTGGTCCACCTGAGGAAGCTCCTTTTGTGGTGAGCTTCCTTGGCTAAGTTCCAAGGACCACGTCCCAGGTCTTGTCACCTGCTGCTTTCTCATCAACTCCGGTGATGGAGTTGAGTTGCTCAGGCTGGGCCACATTTTTCTGAGCATCGATCCCTAGCTAAGATGACCAAATTGCAGGAGACAAGCTTTTTTTTTTTTTGTGACCTGAAGATTGACAGGACATGGAATGTTTAGCAGGAAGCAGGTGGCCCTCAAAGAATTGCATGCCAAGAAAACAAGATGTTCTTAGTCACATCGGTGATGTGAGGCTGGTCCTAGCAGCTTTAAAGGTGACCAGTAATAACCATGGAGAGTGGGATCAGGACTATAGGGAACAGAATAACAGAAGTTGGAAGGGACCTTGGAGGTCTTCTAGTCCAACCCCCTGCTCAAACAGGAGACCCTATCCCATTTCGGACAAGTGGCTGTCCAATCTCTTCTTAACAGCCTCCAGTGACGGAGCACCCACAATTTCTGGTGGCAAGTTGTTCCACTAATTAATTGTTCTCAGTGCCAGGAAATTTCTCCTTAGATCTAAGTTGGTTCTCTCCTTGATCAGTTTCCATCCATTGTTTCTTGTCTTGCCTTCAGGTGCTTTGGAGAATATGTTGAACCCCTCTTCTTTGAAGGGAAGGCTACACTTAGAATCACAGGGCTGGAATCATTACATTCCCCCACACAGTCTAGGTCCAACCCCTCTTTAATTCCATTGACTCTTTATCTAGCGCCATTTTAGTTCTGACCATTAATTGACTACATTCTTGTGTAGAGGCATGTGCAGTAAATCAGCTGTATTAGAGCTTTAATCTGTCAGAATAGAGTTGGAAGGGACCTTGGAGGTCTTCTAGTCCAACCACCTAACCAAGGCAGGAAACCATACCACAGCTACACTTCTCTGTGCATTAATGATTCACCTGTGGAGATGGTTACCAGCATCAAATTCCTGGGTGTGCAATTAACAAGTAGGCTGGCTTGGTTGTTCAACTGCGGGACTTTGGTGAACCAGGCACTACAATGCCTGCATTTTCTGCATCGCATGAGAAAAGCACATCTTCCTTCCCCTGTCCTCACCACTTTCTACAGTGGGACGATCGAGAGCAACGTGTCATACAGCATCACAGTCTGGTTTGGAAGCATCACTGCTTCAGACAGGCAGTGCAGAGAGTGGTGAGGATGGCTGAAATGATCATTGGCAGTTCCCCCCCTTCCATCCAGTACATGGCATATACGCGTTGCTTGAGCAGGGTCCGCAAGATTGTCTGGGACACTATTCCTTGTTACCTTCTGGGAGGGGGCTCCATGGTATCCGAAGCAGAACATCCAAATTCAGTCACAGCTTTGTTCCGTACAGTATTAACCTTGTGAACTCTAACGCTTCCTCCTTCTGTTATGTATTCAAGATGGACAATGTTTAATATTTATATGTTACTTATATGTAAGGGTGTAGGTCGATACATGTGTTGTATATAGTATGTTTTAAATGTGTGTTATATATGTGTGCACTTTGAGAGGAAGCAACTAAATTTCATTTTTAATGTGTGCCATTGTGCCCACAGCAAAAAATGACAATGTTGTTGTTAGTTGCGAAGTCGTGTCCGACCCATCGTGACCCCATGGACAACATTCCTCCAGGCCTTCCTGTCCTCTACCATCTTCTGGAGTCCATTGAAGCTCACGCCTACTGCTTCAATGACTCCATCCAGCCACCTCATTCTCTGTCGTCCCCTTCTTCTCTTGCCCTCAATCTTTCCCAGCATTAGGCTCTTCTCCAGTGAGTCCTTCTTTCTCATTAGGTGGCCAAAGGACTTGAGTTTCAACTTCAGGATCTGGCCTTCTAAAGAGCAGTCAGGGTTGATCTCCTCTAGGACTAACCAGTTTGATCGCCTTGCAGTCCAGGGGACTCGCAGGAGTCTTCTCCAGCACCAGAGTTCAAAGGCCTCCATTCTTTGGCGCTAGGCCTTTCTTATGGTCCAACTTTCACAGCCATACATTGCAAGTGGGAAAATCATGGCCTTGACTATACAAAATGACGATAAAGGTTATCTAATCTAAAAAAAAAAAATTCCAGACAAGTGACTGTCCAGCCTCTTCTTGAAGACCTCCAGTGATGGAGCACCCACAACTTCTGAAAGAAAGCCATTCCACTGATTAATTGTTCTCACTTTCAGGAAGTTTCTCCTTAGTTCTAACTGCTCCAAAGTTTTGCAGTCTTGAGATTTGTCGGCGAGCAGGTGGTATTCCACCTTGCCTCTCTTAGACACAAGATCTCCTTCTGGCAATCTCTTATGACCGCAGTCTTCAATTTATTATCAGACAAAGTTTGCAGAGAGGGCTGGGATTTATATCTGAGTCGATAAGAACAAGGTCGGGCTGTAGATACCCACGTTGCCTTTGGAATCAAGTTGCTTGTCATGAGTTTGATCTCACGGTTCAGTGCAAGATCTGCATATCTGATTAGGGATTAAAGACGGCGGGAGTCTGGAGCTGGCACATACATATTTATTCAGGGAGAGAATATTTATTCGCCTGTCCTTTGAGTATCAGGTTCTCCTTTGATAGCAGGTGGATTAAAAATGAATCATCGGATGAAGGGGTGATGTAATATGTACAGGATGAGTCTTTTGAGTTTCCTTCTGATGATGGTGAAAAAAAATCAGAAGGTGTCTTGGTAGCCTCTTTTCAGACTTAACACATTTTGTTTTAAAAAATGTGCTTTTCTGCCCTACCGTTTCTGATTTCTGCTCCAAAATATCTCTTTATCTTCAAAATATCTTCTGATTTCTGCTCCAAAATATTTTTATCTTCCAAAATGTCTTCTGGTTTCTGCTCCAAAATATTTCTCATCTTCCAAAATATCTTCTGATTTCTCCTCCAAAATATTTCTTATCTTCCAAAATATCTTCTGATTTCTGCTCCAAAATATTTTATCTTCCAAAATGTCTTCTGATTTCTGCTCCAAAATATTTCTTATCTTCCAAAATATCTTCTAATTTCTGCTCCAAAATATCTCTTATCTTCCAAAATATCTTCTAATTTCTGCTCCAAAATATCTCATCTTCCAAAATATCTTCTGATTTCTCCTCCAAAATATTTCTTATCTTCCAAAATGTCTTCTGGTTTCTACTCCAAAATATCTTCTGGTTCTGCTCCAAAATACTTTATCTTTCAAAATATCTTCTGATTTCTGCTCTAAGATATCTCTTATCTTCCAAAATATCTTCTGATTTCTCCTCCAAAATATTTCTTATCTTCCAAAAGTGTTCTGGTTTCTGCTCCAAAATATCTCTTATCTTCCAAAATATCTTCTGATTCTACTCCAAAATACCTTCAAAAATATCTTCTGATTTCTGCTCCAAAATATCTCTTTATCTCCCTTAACTGTCCTCTGCGCAGCAGTTCTCTGCTGCAAATGCAGATCAGGCTTTCAAGAAATCCTGGGGCTTCTCTAAATAAGGAAATGCAGGTAGTCCTCTACTTAAGAACAGTTCATTTAGTGACTGTTCGAAGTTACAATGCAAGTGAAAAAAGTGACTTATGACCCGTTTTTCACACTTGTGACCGTTACAGCATCACCACGGTCACGTGATCAAAATTCAGCCATCA